TAGAGAGAGAGAGAGAGAGAGAGAGAGAGAGAGAGAGAGAGAGACAGAGAGAGAGAGACAGAGAGAGAGAGAGAGACACACACACAGAGAGAGAGAAGCAAATATGCATATAAACATAAGAACTCATAAACGAGATATTACGTGCAATAAAAACATTTATAGAATCATGCGTCCCTTCATCTATTTACGAAAGACAATATCGTTATATTGAGCATGATTGACTAAGAGTAAGACCAACAAAGAAAATATCCAACGGAAATAAATATATATCCCCAAACAAAACAAGAGTCGGTTTTTACAATATAACTTTACTGAGGTAGATAACGATGTTAATTAACCCTTCATTGTCCAATCTTGATAACCCCCACTTCAATGATTTATTCACAAAAATAAATGGTAAAAAGTCTGACCAAGAAAGAAACGAATCACGTGATGACCGACGATAGCGCGCTGATTAGATCTGTAATAGTAATAGCAGATATCTACTCGTATACACGATCTTTGGTCTCCTAACAACATATGGGACAAAGGAAGCAAACACTCACGGGTAGAGGTGGGCAAAATCCGGATGACTATCCGGATAACCGGATAATTCTGAATAAACCATTATCCAAATTCAGACTCTTGAGTACTTTCTCTTGACCCGTTGGTGCACCCATTTATTGTTGAAGTGATGCCAACCCGTTTCTCGAAGCAGTTCTAACCAAGTTGCCGAAGCGGTTCATAACATATTATTATTATTATTATTATTTGCTGAATAGTGTACTAACATTATCCGGATTTTGCTAAAGCGACTCATAGCCCAGCCCTACTCACGGGCTAACAGCGACATCAGCGGAATAATTAATTACTGTAGGGAGAACTTCGGGGCCGCCAAGTTGCCAAACCTTTTTCACAACGTCTGTTGACTTCAGTGCTTTCTTGACCTCTCTCCATATTTTGTGTCATGACGTGGTGGAATCAGGCGCTCGTCAATTTTTGGGCATTTTGACTTATTGATAACTTCCTAAGGCTTTTCCCACCTGTCTTGCTTTTGCGGGGAAAAGACCCACCACCTATATCTTTAATAGAAAATGAAATATTTGCCTTTGAAAAAAGTGGGGGTCGCCTGAAGTCAGAGATAAAATAAGCGAGAAAATGGTCCCCACAGTTTGGTGATTTTAAAAGCTTGAGTGTCCTTGAAAACTTAAAATTTACATAATATATTGTGTCTTTGATGAACAATTGACAGTAAAATTCACACACAGTATGTTTTTAAAAGGATATAAAAATGTTAAGCCCAAAAATAAATAAATATATATTGCTCAATGGATAGAAAAATGTCAGTTTCTGTGATTTGATTATTTTGACGAAACGCTTGATTTCACCACGATGCGTTACATTTTTTTAAAACATTGAAAATGTGACTTCTTCTTAAGCTCACTTTTTGTTATGAGCTTGGGCAAGAAAGCACTGAGGTCTCGGTTTGCTGACTGGTAACAGATCTTTGTTTCCACCGACGAGGACAGACGTAAGGTGTCTTTGCCCTTCTTCCAGGCGTGCTTTTGTTTTCCTCTTTTTTCAGGTAAGTGTTTTACGGCCCTCGCATCTGCATAAGGTCATAATATGAGCGCACAGGACACATTTAACTTTTTCAGTTTGCTGGAAACTTTGAGTTTTGCCCGAATGGCGGCCGAAGCCTACTCTTATCGATTTCGGACCGTCAAGGGAACTGTAAGGCGCGCAACTTGCACAGGGAACCTCTTAGATTTTTCGCCCTTGTCCGAGAAGGCCAGGTGTAGATCTTTCCCATCGCAAGATCAGGGGTGTGGCTGAAAGACAGCAGTAAGAAGGAGCCTAGGAATAGCAGTTGAAAGGCTGCAGAAAGAGTCAGGAACCCAGAGTTGGGGGCAAAGGAGATGAGGGGGTGGGAGCAGAAAGTGGAGACGAAAGCAGACAGCAGAACATTGTTGGAGAGCAGGAAAGGATGTGAAAGGAGAACATTTTAGAGAAGAAAATTTTTCGTCGCTGTCCGGATTCGAACCCGGAACCTATTGAATGAGAGGCGAAGACCTTAACCTCTAGGCTACGGGAGCCCCCCTTCTGGCAGCTTTGTTCTCACCGACGATTACAGAATGATGTAAACAGTGGCGGTGATTAGTAAAGGGCTCACGGGCTTGAGCCCCCTCCCCCCCCTCCCAACTGTGTCCCAAAGTAAATGAAAGTTTCTGAAATAATGAAACAAGCAGTTGAAACCGTTATGTTCGCTCGCAAGAAACACAGGGAGATCAACTTGGCGGCTTGCTCGTTTATCCAATCACTGTTGTCGCCGCTGACAACTATAGTAACCTAACAGCCACTCAAAGTGTTTTACCAATCTTCCAGACGTACTTTTGTTTTCCTCTTTTTTAAAGAGAGGAAAAGAAAGGTGTGTGTACTGACGGTGTGGGGGTACTGCCACTGGTTGCGAAGTTTCGGAAGGAAGAAGAAGAGGAACATGAAGAGGAAGAGGAAGGAAAACAGAAGATTCGGAGGAAAAATGAATTAGAGGCAGCGTGGTGTAATCAGGCGTTCGTCAAAATAATGAAATAAAAGAAATCGGGTTTTTTGGTGTGTTTTTTCGGGGGGGGGGGGGGGGGGGGGGAATAATGGGCAATTTTTTTTTAAATTTTCTTTTCTTTTTTTTTTTAAATTTTGGTTCTACACCTTTTATGTCCAATAACAAATGTCACGACGCGGTGGAATCACGCGCTCGTCAATTTTTGGTCCTATGGAGTTTTTGGTATCAACTTACTGCCTGACCATTTGTCTTGATTTCATAAGGAAATACCCATTTATCTTCAACTAGCTGGGCTCCCTTTCAATGAAAGGAATGATCGGTGCCTTAACATCAATTGAAAGTCATATTGGCCTACTCTTTTTACACTCTGCTGGAATGGAGCTATAAATCTTGAGAGAAAAGTGACAGGTTTGTTTCCATGTTACCAAATATTATGTAATAGATGTATAGATTGATTCTCTATTCCGCTTTCGTGGTTGTACACTCCTTAATTTCAAAGGTGTGGAATCTGCACACGGCTAGTGAACGAAAGCCTCGCTTGTTTACGATGGCATCTTAGAAAATAATAAATAATAATAATAGATAGCATTTGTATAGCGCATATCCCCGCTCAGCAGCAGGCTCTATGCGCTTTACACTATATTATTATTACCCCAGCAGACCATAGAACACTCCGAAACATTCTCAGCTTCCCGGGAAGCATACAGTGCGAGCAGCCGATTAAGCGCTCAAACACTAACAAACTGACAAGATCTTTCGCTGTCTATAGCCGGGTACCCATTCTCACCTGGGTGAAGTGAGGAACATTCGTGCAAAGTGCCTTTCCCAAGGACACAACGTCGGGCCCTTGACGGGATTCGAACCCACGACCTTACGGTTGCGAGTCCAAGAGCCTAACCACTAGGCCACCGACGCCACGAAGACGGACTTTCCCCAAGATTAGATCTAACCGAAACTAATGAAAAACTGAAAATTTAACTACAGTGACTTGAGGGTCCTCATTGAAACTGTGCACCCTTTAAATGATTCTGAACCACCATTAATTTGGTCAAATACGAAAGAAAAGTTTTTTTGAAAGTTTTAGGCTGCGAAAGTGTGAAGTTTCACAAATATATGATATAGAGATAGAGTAGAGATACATATGAGATAGAAGGAGGTGGGGGTCACCTGGTTTCAGAGGTAAAATTAGTCCGAAAATGGCCGCCAAACTTAAAATTTACACTTTATGCGCCTTTAATAAACGATTTTCAGTAGAAATAAAGAGTGCAATATGTCTTTTAAAATGGACATAGCAGGTGATAAGCAAAAAAAAAAAAGAAAAAAAAAAGAAAAATGCTGTTTTCTTCGATTTTATTGTATTGGCGAGCTCCTGATTTCACCACGGTGCCTGGCATATAACACGTGTCTTGTTCCTTATTTAAAATCCATATTACACACATTTCAACATTATATTTTTTTATATCCGTGGCAAATGATTGGGTTTGGAGCAAACTTTTGCAGTTTTTAATTGGAATTGTATTATCGTTACAACAGGCTTAAATACAAAATTATTTCGTGCAATTTTCTAGTGTTTTTCTAGTTTTGCTTTGCTTTGCTTTGCTTGTTTGTTTTGTTTGTTTGTTTGTATTTTCTGGAGGCCGAGTGTCTCTCGATCTGTTGTAATAGACAGAAGTGCCGGAAATGAGTAACAGCAACAAATCCCAAGCCCAAATCCAGTTGGATTTGCAAACTCCCAAAACCCAAATTCAAATCCAGATCCGTAACAAATGGAGTGCTCTGTGCTGCGTGCAGACCTAGCAGGACAACCGAAGTCCTGTCTTTTATTTTATTTTTTAAAAAAAATTTTTTTTTTGGGGGGGGGGGGAGGGAGTTGAGTGTTTTACGGCGCTCATAACAGAATAAGATCATATGAGCTCGCAGGACACTTTAAACTTTTTCTGTTGGTAGGACATTAAACATTTTTTTCTCCCCGGGTGACGGCCGAAGCCTACTTTTACCGATTTTTGACCACCAAGGGATCTTTAACGTGTGCAACTTGCACACGGGCCCTCCGAGATTTTTTCGCCCTTGTCCGAGAAGGCTAGGTGTAGATATTTCCTAAGTCCTGTCTGCACACGGGGTCCCTCGTTTCAAGATTCAACTTACTTACTTTTGCTTTTACTTTTTCCTTCCTCTGGTATCCTTAGGATGTCGAGGGGAGGTGCAGGTTTCGGTCCTGTGCTAGGTGTGTAGCATCTGTGATAGATATGTTGTGCTGTTCCAGGATACTCTTTAACCCCATCCAGCCAGGTCTTTCTTGGTCTTCCTCTTGATTTGAAGTCGGATTCACAATTGTAGTAAGCTCTAGCAGCTAATTGTTTCTGGGGTATTCTGGTTCGATGTCCGAACCATTAATTTGACTCTTGGACGCTCATTGTATTTTATTCCTGGTGGTATTCCGGTTTGTAGGCGGATGGTCTCGTTCCTTATGCGGTCTCTTCTGGTGACGTTGATGGTTTTGCTGAGACACTTCCTTTTGCATGCATTGATTCCTCTTTCTTGTGCCTTGTATAGAGGCCATGTTTGGCACTGGTGTGTTAAGGTTGGTTATGAAGTTTCAACGAACTCTCTCAACTCATAAACTTTTCTCCACCGTCCCGCCAGTCACAATCAAAGATCTGAATGTCAAAGACAGCCCCTCTCGGTATAACCACCACTCCTCACCCCCCGCCACCATC